ATCTCCTCGGCAATTTCAACCGAGAAGGCTCGAAGACACTGATCAATCTCAGCAAAATTAGTCTAAAAGCAATAACAGGATAGCAATAGCACCGTGGAAGAAATACCACAAACAGATCCCCTCAATATCTTCAGATTTAGATACACCCTGTTTATCATTTCGATATCAGATGACGCTCGAAATTTGCAGCCAGCTATTAGACCAGTATGAACGTTTCTGTCTTCAATTCATGTTTCTTTTGATATGGAAATGTGAACTGTGAGCTTCAATATTATATGGCGAGTATAGGTATCTATGCATATACACTCTACTACAATATATTGCTGAAAAATACGTAGGTACGTATCTTCTCCTGTTTCGCGTTTCATTGAAATTGAAATTCCGGATCCATGTAATGAGACGAGAGTACGTGATATTGCATCCAATGTTATCGCTGAGCATGTATGATGAATACCGAATGTTTACAGTATCCTGCCACTTCAAATCACCATAGTGTTTTTTATGTTTTTCTTATTATAATTCCTTGATAAACTAGTTGAATATTCAGAATGATAATATGTGCATTTACATTTTTTTTTACCTGAAGGAGAATGCAAATTCTCAACTTCAGAAGATTTTGTTCCCAATTCTCATCGTGTGTTTTCAATAGATATAATTCAATGTTCGTCGTGGCGTATAGCCAGGAAAGTGGTTGTTTTCTGTAGAAAAAAAACCGATAAAGAATTAATACACTCTATAATATTCCGTACGGGATGCACTCAGATTATTAGATCCAACATATCTGCCCAAAAAAAAAAATACAAGCAACAAGAAATTACTTTGGACCACTTTGGATGATTTTCATGATATATCTGAATGACCCTATTTCATAATCAATGTTTGTGAAAATTCCATCGTGTGTGAACTTTTCTAATGGGAAAGTTGTGGTCATACGAAAAGTGATAATGTTAATTAGTGCTTCAATTCGAACTGGAAAATATGGAACCAAACCGCATGTTCTTGCGGTTTTCAGTTGATTAGATTTTTTGTCGGTTTGGGGTTTGCCTATAACTATAAAGGGAATGCAACATTTCAACGAAATTCTGTTCCAATTAACAGGCACATTTCGTTGGTTTTCATATCGACCATTATTTTGAAATGAATATATACGTCGAATTTGCATGAAATATTCGCAATATGGTCATTATATGACATGGATGAAAAATTTATTGAACCAATTTTTTATTGACACCAAAGCTGTTGAAGGCTGTGAAATTTCGGTTTATGGTTAATTGGTTGTTGTTCCATTTACATGTGTTACAAGTACCGGATTATTAGATTTTTCAGTTGAAACAGGGAATTCTGGAATTGAGTTTGTAGTGGATATTTCGCGATAGATAAGAAAGGTTTGTGCTGTAACAGCTATGTCGTGGTGTTAGCTGAGGTAGTCAGGAAATATTTAACACCAATAAGTATATAGCGAATTTGCATTCATATTAATAATAATTATAATTCCATCAGTACATTTACGAGAAGCACCAAACACGTCCACCTTTAGCAACCATGTGTTAGAATAGTATCATTTATAATTCAATATTTTAACTGATCTAAGAGTGTGACCAAACACCAAATAGGGAAGTTTCATTCAGATGAATTTTCAAAAAATAAGTTCGGAACTCTCCAGTTTTATGTCCACGCTGTACAGAATGGCGACCGATAAAACAAATGAAAAAAAAAACTGGTAAACAAAACATACATAACCACAAATGCACTCGGAGCAGGAATGCAGAGGGTAGTTGGCTTCATTCTGACAGGTTATGGTTTCGTTATTTATGCATTGAAAGATCCTAAACGAAAATATCATTGAATCAATGAATCATTATCGGCTACATTCAATGAAACTATCCTTCCTAATTTACTCGGTCAGAACAGAATGAAGCCGACGCCCAAGGTTCCTTCATCTTGTTGTGCCTGTCAGTATTTTGAGTGTTGTGGACGGACTCGAAGTATTTGGTCCTGTTGCAAGATAAGATCCGTTTTATCGAGGAACGAATTCAATAGCAAAAAAATGGCTGACAAGTTATATGAATAACATATTATTGTAATATAACGACAGTGAAAAATTATAGATATACTATCGCAAAATATCATAATTTATCTTTATTAGTAATCAACTCCATTCAGCCAATGAGAGATTTATGGGAATTATTCATAATATTTCACAAAGTAGGATTGAAGAACCTATCATATCCAATTATTGCATGCTGTTATGATATAGTTAGTATGCATTCAAAGAACAATTTCCGGAAATCTAGACGTATTGATGATTGGATTTTCAGAAACTACGTATCATAGGAATGGTGGAGGAGCCAGGTTCCTCTTTTATTAATTTTTTTCTGAAGTGAAATTTGATCTTACGAAAAAAAGAAGAAAAATAATAAGTATTGTATATTAATTTCTTACAAACACATTGGTTAAGCAAACCAATGTGTTTGATTTCATTTCAGCGAGAGTTCATTCTCAAGATCGATTTTATACAACATATATATACAACTCTCATATTGTTGATGTCTTTTAGGATTACAGGAACAAATAAATGAACATCAATAAAATGTCCGAATTTGGGAAAGAATTAAACATATGATGGTCTATGACGAATATAGAAACTTGAATCTTGGACACTCGAGCAAAAAGAAGAGAAGGAGTATTATATAGTCCGGGAGCCAGCGACATTTTTTAATGTCTCATTTGATAAAGCTGGGTCATTTTTTATCTCTTGTAATAATATATATATAGCCTATCAACAAAATCCACTCCTGCCACCTCAATCGCGGGACAACGCTTATCAAAGTTGTTTAAAAAAACGAGTGAATTACAAACATGATGAAAGCTTCACCAATCTTTCAATGATATATCAGTTAGGAAAAATATCACCACCTGCCACTTGTCTTTTAGAACGATGTACACCTGCCATGGACCTAATCAAATGAAAAAAAAAAGTGTTCCAGAACAACGTACCATGAATTTTACAGAGGATGACCTATATACAGACCTGAATAGGCCGATCGAAATCTACTTGTAATTTTATTTCCAGATTTTCTTGAATATTTCAAGATCCTTGAATGGTACTCCTCTCTAGAATTCGTAGGGCGATGTACTATCGTAAATGTGCATGAAAAACATGTTTTTCCAAATAGATTAATATATAGGGAATATTGGCAACACCGTTTTACACCGCAAGTCTAGAGTCCTAGAGTAAAGACACTTTTGTGTCTCGAAGTTGATTTTGACCTGCTATTGAGATTGAAGGCTCACTTTCGACACTCCATCGAGGTTTCCAATAGAAACTCAAGTATTAGAACAAAATTAGAAGATTTCCTGCAACATATGTGGATTTGCAAGACCTCCAGAGAAGGAAACCTCCTGGGACATATACTATTCGACCGAAGTTCACCTGGTAGGGAAGTAGTTCGATGAACAGAGTAGATGAACTCATTTACCTCTAGGAGATTTCAAAGTCTGTCAGGAGGGAAACATACCAGAATATAGACAACTCTTCGAAGAGGTTAAATCAAAAATTGCTTTGCAAACATGAAATTGGTGAATTCGATGGTGAATTGTCGAAGTTGTTGAATTTTGTAGGGATATCTTTGTACATTTATTTTCCTTTGTAAATTTGACACGAAATTAAATTGTTAGGCTTATAAATTTGTTTTTCTACTCACATATACCTAAAATGGCATTTAGCGTACGGATATGTACCACGCTAAACGATCGATTAATCACGGATTGTCGATCTGTGATTTATTCAAAATATTAAACACGTTACCATGGCAACACGATTTCTTAAACACATCACCATGGCAACACAGTTAATTAAACACAGCTTCAGTGATTTGAGACATGTTTGGCCTCTCAATTGTATCAACTGTCAACTGTTATTTTCAAATTTTGTATCAGAATTATTCAAACAATATTCGTTTGTATCAGAATTCTTCATTCAAAATATATGGGAAATGTAGACGAAAGTGAAATCGAAGAAAACGTTCTGGTACTTGCATATCTCCAACGAGAAGTGTCAAAATGAAGCATCCATCTTTGAGAACAATTTATTTATTCTGCGCTAAGCATGACAATAAACGTGAAACAAAGGTTCGTAAGCAATGGACTGGACACATCTACAACCAATATCACTTATACGTGTCTCGCTGGTTGCATGTATTATGTTCTCAATTCCCATTCCTTTCGAATTATTTTGTAGGTTAGCAGGAATAGCAGGTATGTTAGTGTAATTTTCGGAGTTCGTAGAAAAAGCATAGTATGTAACGCGTTTATAAACTCTTCTAGACACTCGTTTATTAAACACTCGCTACGCTCTGCTCCGCTCGTGCTTAAAATACTCGTTACTAAAAGGAAGTTTATGACACTTGTTACATAATATACTGTTTACTGTTCTTCTTGCATAGAACATTAGTTTTTATATTTTAACCAGAAATAAAATACATGGTGCTCATTTACCTGGCATATCTCATCATGTTTATCTTATCTGATCTAAAAGTTGTCTAATAAGTATTCAGCTAGGTTAACAAACTTCACTTACTCACGACCTCCAGAAATTAGAACAGCTCATAGGTAAAATAAAAATGAATGAGTAGTAAGATTAAAATTGGTAGAGATTTACTCAAATTTTTATTTCATAGAAATGATGAGAAAATTCCGAATAATTAAGTAAAATAAATTGTACCACCTCCTGGATTATAACCTACAGACAGAAAAATTATTTATTTTCTGTATCTCCGAAATGAAGCATTTCCAGACACAAGTTCATATAGATTTATTATTCAAAATTGTCTCAGGAATACTTCACTTGAATATTTTAACGTACTAATGTTACACCCTGTATAACTGTATCGAATTTCAGAAAAATACGTTTACGAATGCAGAAGTCTGCCACGACCGGAATCTTCAAAAACCCTTCAAGGTCAACTTCAGCTAATTCTGGAAATAAGATTTTCGAGCATGTAGAAGAAAACTGATGTCCATACATTAATTTTTAATGCCAAGATTCCTGTATTTCTGTCAAACCTAAATTACTTAATACACAGAAAAAATCTCTGCAGTCATAAGGAAAATACATTAAACTTATCATTTAATTTTCAATATTTCGATCAATAGAAATAAATCAGTAGCGTCCACTGCGACCCGAACGATGCTTCGGCGACCTTGAACCCTTCCTTTCCCTGGACCGGGACCTGCCCCCGCGTTTGGGGGAACGGGACTTGGTGCGGGGTCTTCCGCCCCCAATATGGGTACCAGCACGCCCCCCCTTCCTTCTAGCATATAAGTACCTGAAAAAAAGTGGGATGATTTCTGTAAGAGCAAGACCTATAACTCGTAGTGGATTCCGGACCACCCCTAGGGCGGCAAGATAAATTGTTTTTGTGAAATTTGTATATTGCTACTTCAAAGTTGGGAACCAACTCCCCAGCAGTGGAAACTTGTGCGGGGTTAGGAAGAGCGGGACCTACTACAGCTTATGATGGAATCCGAGCCACTTTTAGGGCATTGAGGTGCTGCCAGGATTACAACCATGAATCCCAGCTAAATACTCAGCCGATAGCCGGATTCGAACTGACAGTATCTCCGCATCGTGAGCAAATTTCAGTGCATAGACAAAATCGGCCTTGGCGCTGTCAGGATTATAACCAAGAATAACGCATTATTGAAAAAAATGTTTAGATGAGCTAGATGTGAACCAACAGCACCTCTGCATTGTAATCGGCTAACAGCCTCAATTTCAATAAAGTTTTGGAGAAACTGTTTGCATTGGGTATTAGAGGCAGGTCACTGAGATGGATTGAATCTTACTTACATAACAGAAAAATAATTGTCACAATTGAAAAGGAACTTTCCCAAAACACCCCATTTCTCTTGGAGTTCCACAGGGATCTGTCCTAGGACCCTTAATTTCTCAACTCTTTATCAATGACAAAACCACCAGAGACAAACTGACAATGTTTGCAGAGGACACAAAATCACTCTGGCTGGAAGCACCCCTGAGAAACTCCAAGTGAAGATAGGTCAAACCATGAGTGACATGAAAAGCTGATGTCAAAGAAATGACCTTATTCTCAATAAAAGACAAAACCTGTTGTACGAATTTTTACATGAGGTAGGTAGCATTTACCCAACACTATGCACCATCTAAAACTTGATATTATTATATTTCTCCTACAAGAAAGAAGATTTGGTTCACGAATTCATTATTCACTGGGAAACTACTAACAATCACCTAGAAAGAAACTCAACTTGTCACTCACATTAGTGACGTTTTTTGAAATTGTCAACAGGAAAATTAAATTCCTCTTGAGTTTTAAAACAGCCATAAATGTAAGATCTTCAATGGAACCCATATTTTCCATTTTAATGCAGATTCCAGGAGTTAGCCCAATAGTGAAATGATGTGATGTATGTTTGGTTGCCTATACCACAATTGTTGTGGTGTCTGTTTGGTTACCTATACCACAATTGTTTGTCAATAAACAAATTCTTTGTTAATGGATTTTTTTCCTGTACATCAATCAAACTTGTTAATACGAATCATTTGATAGAAAAGTATTTTCAATATTTCAAAGGAATAGCATAGATGTAGCTTTTGAACAAAACTTCATCATCATTGTTGACATTGGCAATGATTCATTATGTAAGATTGTGTTGTTTGAGTTGTCAACAGATAGAGAGCTCTAGTGAGAACTTTCAGTTTATGGAAATGAATTTGAGGAATCATTTTAAACATGGAAAATATAGAATTGTTATGCACAGGTTTTGTCAGTGGAAACAAAATTTTACCAATAATTTCATCTGTGAAAAGAAACATTATGCAAAGTTTATTACATGAACATGAAATTAAGGGAATTGTAGAGGTATTTTTTGTAGAAATAAAATTACTATTATTGTCAACCTCAAAAATTTGATCATTATGCAATTTCTAAAAGTATGTTAGATAAAGTTTGATATTTTGAAGGAATGGCAGTTTTATTTCAAGGATCATTTTGAATACTAGGAATCCTGAAAATACTAGAATTTATCAATTTTGCAATTGATTCATTTTGCTAGGTCTGAGAAATTTGTTAGACATGTTTTTTTGTTAGATGAAAATAGCAGATATTCTATTCTATGAAAATGGGATCAAGAAACATGATAAATGTCATAATTACAGCAATCAATTTTGCAATTATTAATTATAATCTCCATGTTTTTGTCAATTTTCTTTCCTTTCCAATGTCAATTATAAATAATGATTCAAATCTTTCTGGAAACCAAATTGATCTTCATTATGGATCCCATGGATAACCCCAATGATTGTAACAACCATTTTACAAATTGCATTGATGTATCATATTCTCCAAGTGAAAAATGGCTCAAGGAGACAACAATAAATAAATTATTCATACTGTACTTATTAATATTCATGATATGAAAGAACACAAATACACCAAGAAAATACCTGTAAAATGGATTCCTCTATGGAAGAATGAAATATTTATGATTCAATTACCTTCTCAACTCCCTGGAAATAGGTTTCAAGTGCATGAAATTGCAGAACCCAGACCTAGTACATTCTCCCATCTCATACTGACGGCAGCAAGCTTCTCTGAAGTCTGTCACTGGACTGAGTTCTGCATAGACTGGTCTTCCACCAAACCAGCGATTGTTCAGATCATTCACAGCACGGTCTGCATCTTCTTCCCTTCGAAACTTTTGAAAGGGTATGGATTAGTTGAACTTGATTTCATTGAATTGTGTACCAACCTTAATGTAAACATTTCCAACCAAGTGATCTCCCAAATTATCACAAACATTCATTTCCTCAATTTCCCCATATTTATCTTCACACTCAACAAATACATCCTCAAAGAAGTTGTCATAATGCTCCTGCATTTCTTCATCAGAAACATTGGCAACCACTGAAATATTTCACAAGTCCCTCTAATAATTCATGATTATTGAATTTGAAGTACTTACAGTGACTGCCATCAGCAGATTTCGCAGAGTTCTGAGGATTTACATACAAATTTTGAAGTAAACATGTTTGGGAGAATGTTGGTTTATTATGTATTCTGGAGCACCTATCTCCGTGCCTACAAGCACCTATCTTGAAATAGAAGGAGCAGTTGACCCTGTAAAAATCAAACTCGAAAACATTTCTTTATATTTGACTAGTTGTACTCACTTATCCTTTTCTGTGCCGAAAATAGAGGCTAAATATTCGGCCATTGTAATCAAATCTGGAAGTAATCCAAGTCCAAATCCAACAATCCAACCTAAAAATGCCGATAAATTATAAATAAAGCAACAGAACACGTAAAACAATGACACTAGTGACTGCTGACAAGTTACAAGAGAAAGTGACAAAGTGACACTTCAAACCACATAACCACATTCATGAGACTTGTCGTCATTCATTATTATTCAAACACACCTTGCACCGCACTGGTTCTAGGTTCGTGTTTCGTTCGCGTTCTGAAAATAGACACGCCAAAAGTGCCGAAACTATATACCGAAGCGATCGAAGTCAATCGTTACCTACGAATCCATATAATTATGTGAATGTGACGCATGTTAATGTTTGTTGACTCGAGAGTCGAGAAACCCACAAAATAACGTAAAACATAACGAGCGAAACTCACAGAACGTTGAACTTCGATTTGCACCAATCCTCTTAGCACTAGTTGCACTCTATGTTGCCCTGTTCGTTTGTTTTGCTGAACTTGCTAAAGTTGATGTTGTTTCCATAGTTGTCTCTGTTTATGGCATGATGTAAACAGAGAAAGTCAGAAAAAAATCAAGTTTGACAGGTAGAGCAAACACAAACGACCAGGCCTCATTACACTCACACTCACTATGACTGAACACTGAACTGATATCAAAACAAACGAACACAGGAACAGATCTAACCAAACTCTTTGTTTTGTTTTTGTAATTTGTATTTTAATATTTTTTTATATTTTGACATTTTAAAGATGATTTGCCATTGCCACACTATTTTGCATTGAGAAAGCTTTAAGTAGTATTCACCTCATGAAGAAACTGATGGATTTTGATTAAAAAAATAATAATAGACTGGTTTCATCAGTACATATTCATTATTTTTTTATCCCATATAATATATGATGATGCAAGATTTCTCTCCCCTTTTGCAAGTGTCTGATACCCATACAGTGTCGAAGGTAAAAGTCCTTACAGAACTGCAAAAACCTACTAAAGTTATTATGCGTTTTAATTTTCAGTTCCTGCATGAATCTGTAGATGATATGATTGGGAAAAGAAAAATGACCTATCAGAATTATAATAGTGGGGACATGGAATGGACAGAAAAAGATTATGATACAACCAAAAAATCTATTCAAAATCTTTACAGCAAAAGTATCATTGAGGATAATTTCATTATAGATTCACATTTACCAGTAGACCTTCATGAAGCATTGAAAAATTGCTTCCAGATGAGAAAGAATGAAATATTTCAAGCCTTAGCTAAAGATGCAGTGTTGAAAAATGGGAATAATTTGGTAGAAAATATTGACTGGAAATTGAAGTGGATATTAGGTTCCTCAGATTTAGCAACATTAAGAGAACCACTGCTGCAATTAAGTTTGCACTGTATTAGGAAAAATAGTGAGAAAAATGAAAAAAACATTGTTCCTGTGGAAGTTGACCTGAATCAAGTAGATCAGTTGATAATGGAGTTATCAAAATTAAAGGAACAATAAGAATAGGGACAATAGGGTTCATGCAGAATTATATTTAAATCAATAGGTAAAAGAGAAAGATTGTTAATGAGGACCAATAACAGGCATACAAAAGGTCATACAAAAATTACCAACATTCCCAATGAAGGAAATTAACCACCAGAATTAATTTTCCCTAGCAACCTGGGATCATAAGTTCACAAGAGATATTACTGCACATAATATAAATAGAAAATTAAGGCCTTCAATCTAAGAACCAATATCCATCTTATTCATTTTTTCTTATTATTTCTTGTATTGAATATTGTCTATATTTTGTAAAGAGGGTGGGTGTGCCTTTGCCCGTTTTCAAATAAATGTAAAAACTCTATTTTCCATTTTTTATTTTGCCGGCTGCACTGGTGTCTCCGCTGTCGACTGTCGGCTATAATGTATTCTTTAATTCAAATAAGTTAAGCGTACGCTCGTCGGATATTGAGACAGTTGCTTATGTTTATTTTTAACCTCTATTCTGATATTTTGAGAAATAATCAGAAATGTCTCGACTGTAGATTCAAGATCGAAAGTCGAGACCGCATAGTAGAATATTATTCATTCATAAACGCAGAAGTTTCATGAAATTTCAATTCCTGCGAAAACTACCTAGTTGAGATGATGAACCCAGAAAATGAGCCTAACGGCCCAGAAGATCCAAGACGTCCGCTGCCAGGTGCAAACATTGCCCGAAATAAATACACATTCACCCCAGAAGAACTGCGAGTCCTGAAAGAATGCAACAAAGACAGCTTCTACCAAAGATGCATACCAATCAGTGCTGCATTAGCAGCATCCACATACTATGGTGTCCAAACAGGGTTCCTCAAAGGGCACCAAAGATTTGGGGCTACACCAAAGGTAATATTTGCAGTTTTCATAGGCTACTTCCTGGGTAAGTTTTCCTACCAATCCAAATGTGCTGAGAGACTGATGCAGTTACCAAACAGTCAAATAGGAGAAATGCTGAGACAGAAACGCAAGGGACATTTGCATGAAAGCTTAGATTCAGGTTTTGGCCCTGGCATGTCCCTAGCACCTTTCAGTGGGGTAAACTCCACAGACACCTACAGTGACCTCAATCCTAACAGCAGCTTGGACCTGGACACTGATAGGCCAGAGAATAAGGGCCTAGATGACCACAATAGGCCCTCTATGGACAATCAAATTTATGAGGATGAAATGCCACCAGAACAGAAACATAATACTAGTTATGATGAACTGAGGAAAAAGAATAGGGAAGAGTACCAGCAGAAGAGAATTGGAAATTACAGAGAGCCATTTACACCAGGATACTCAGGGGCTCCTCCTGGTGGTAGCTTTTCAGGGAGTCAATCTGGGTTTTCTGATGATGTACCTGCCCAGCCTAAGAATAAATATGGGGATGCTTGGGGATGAATATTGAATCTTGAATTGCTAGAATTAATATTAGTTGGTGATTAAAGCTTATGTACTTGAGTAAATACTACAAATTATACTGAATTATACACAGGCTATAGTACTTTTTTATTTTTTCACCATTTTCCCCTGGTAGTCATAATTCTGAAAAGCAGGTTAGTCAAACATGTCTAGGTCAAAATTGGTATAACTTTGAGCTTCCAGACAGGAAATAGATGTCTTCTCTTTCCCAAAAATGTAACAATATACTTATGTATACTCTATACTGTCTCTACTACAACCACCCTTGCTTTTCTGTTCTGTATAATGCATTTTAGATCAGGTAATTTCAGATTAAAGTAACCTAAGAAAAAGACATAACCATACCATTACCAATATCTCTTGTTTGTGGAATTAATTGGTTGGTTCTCTACATATTTCTTTAGGCATGATGAATGTTTGATCTGAAATTCCAACATGTCAAATTGTTTATTGCTTTAGTTATATGAAACAAAACACTGAAGCTATTTTGCTCTCACACTTATGGATCACCAAAGCCTATATCAAGAACTTCCTTTCAATGATCATATCTTGGGAAGGGAATCTTTGATTTCCCTCCAGAAGTCCATAGAAAGTCAACATTTAACATTTACTAACTGGAAAAATACGGTTTTCTTGGAAATTAAAGAATATCTAAAAGAGGGGTACCCTTGTGATTTTTCTCAAAATTTCGATTGTCAAATCTGTTGGGCAAATCTTTAAAACATACTTTAAGGGAAAACTTTGTTTTTCATGCAGAAAATTCTTATCCTCGTATCTAGTGAAAGAATGATGCGATTTCAATCCAGTTGGTTCTGTTATAGCATTCATTTTCCATGTGTAGAGAACAGTTATAACTAACTCGAAAAAAGTAGAACAACTAGAACAAGGGTATACTCTACTCATCTCTGCTATTGTTGCTTTTCTCAAAATTTCGAATTGTCAAATCTATATTGAACAATACATTATATTATTATGTTCCACCAAGTTTTTGGTGTGTCACCTCTTGCTTGTTTCTTCAGTTGGCAATCATGTGTTCCTTCTAAAAAATTGTTATGAGGAAAACTCTAAGAACTTCATCTCATTGAAAATAGTTATTTATACACCAAGGTAGTTATAAGAATATTATTATTACCCAGCTGGACCACGATTATATCCCGAGGCTTCAGCGTAGGGGTATAAAGGACCCATGGTGATAATATTCTTTACTACCAAGGTTTATATTAATTTTTTTTACCACTAGCAATATATTTCAATCATTTTAGTTCTGTGAAACCGAAATATTTGCAATAATTAGCCATGACCATGACAGCAAATGACAAGTTGTTATTGATAAATACCTACTAGATTCAAGTGCCATTCCTGGGGGGATCTCTGCGGTCAGAACAACAGATCAAGGTGGCTTTGTCTTTATCGACTAGTGGTTCATAAAATGACGAAAACTATACCTTGGTTGTAAAAACAACTTTAGGCATCGAAAAGCAGTAAATTATGCTAGGTTTTATAGAGCTATAGTGGTGGAAAAAAATATAAGTATGTGTATTTGCCAAATTTTACCATTCTGAAATCTAATGAACAAAAATGTTCCCCTTTTGTTCAATTCAACATAGAAATAACAAATATAGAGAAAACGAATTTCCTCTCAGAAGTGTCCAGGAATCTTTTATTAGGATCGCATATTCTCATTTAAAGCTCACCTTCAAATTGATTCTTCGTCAATTATATTCAACCAATGAAATTCTCATGTCCTGGAAGATCCAGAATTTTAACAATCAAAGTGATCCATTTCTTTGTGTCAGAAAATAATGAAACTATCTTGAGTTCGACACCCGAACTTCACTCAACCAAACCGAAATACAGACTGAGAATTGACCTATTCTGTTATTCCTATTATGAAACTAATATGAACATTTATTTATCATCGATAGCAGAACAAAAAACTCACAAATATGCGTCATAAAGACATCGCAAAATAAAGAAATACAGGGAGATATAACTGATAAACTGACATCAGCGAAAACTGCTAACATTTACTGTAGGTATCCAGTGAATGTTAATGTTTTGAGGGTATATACAGTATGATGCAAATGTATGGAATAAATTCATTTCAAAACAAGACGACTTTCGAAAAAAAAAAAAAAACTAGAGTTTAGAACTTTTTTCGACGTATTTTTTTAACTAGACGACCCTTCGATGTTCATCAATTCTCAGTAGCAGACCTCTGCAAGATTCAATTAATCACATGATAATCCATTTTAATTTCAATCTTCTTATGCAACATTTTGACTGTTGAATAGACGATCGGTAGACCTTTCAAACAAGGTGTCACATGACCCCTATTTGTATTTGAAAAAATCGTCCATTATATACGTCTTTACTCCAACACCGGTGACGTAACATCTCTCATATGAATATCATGAGATGAGGCTTCAGAAATCAAAACTCACGTGTTTTTGGAATTTTTTCAAATGTCGCCCATTTCTGAAATAATGAATTTATTCCATACATTTGCATCATACTGTATATGCTCTTAAATACTCAATACAGGGTGACAATGACATAACTTTTAATGACACCTATAGGTATTCATTTTTCCATTGCCCCAAAATGTCACTGCATTTGAAAATTCCACTATAAGAAAACCTTAAAGATAAATTCGATCGATTGCCGCATCATTTTCACTTATCTTTCAGACGTTTATTTGGGAATGAATCTGCTTCAGTATTCAACATGAAAAATTTCAAATACCCGGTGTTCCAAGTCATCGTATACAGGCGATTTCTCGCTCATTTGAGAAGATGATTGAAAAATCCAAAAACTGCATGGAATAGCATTCAAGTACCTTTCTCATGACTTAAAAAAATCTTTTACATTTGACAGTTCAAAGCTATCGCTCACTCTTTATTTTCAAATGGCACTCCCTGTATATTTTAATTGAAAATTGCGTGCCATCCTATGAGGAATACTTGGTATTTTTTATTATTATAACAAAAACAGCAACATTCAATGAAGAATGAATTTCAACTAAAATAGCTTTTAAGGGAATCAGAAAATGAACGTAAAATCATTGCAAATGTTCAAAATGATTATAACATCGGCTTCTTGAAACAAAAAACATGAGCGGAGGCAATATCAGGGTTTCGATTGCTATTACAATAGTAATAGATCTATTACATTCTAGCACTCTTCATAACGTCGTCGTTACTACTATTTGAAATTCATAGCGAATCTAGTTTTCATGTCATCGCAACGTTAGATGATGACCTTGACTACCGCCAATGAAGTAGCGCTCAAGATGACGGCCGACGGAGCGGATAAGAGGTTTATTTGGGCTTCTGACGTCACAAGCACAACTGACATAATTACTAGACTATGAGTCGTATCCCAGCAAACCAAAAATCTTGTTTAAATTCCTCGCCTGGAAACGTTTCTGCTCAATGCGCAGGAATCCTCAAACTGTCGTTCATGACATATGGAGTCTTGCGAGTCATATGTCTCTTGGTGTTTGATATGGTATTCGCAAACATAAGTAAGAGTAAGATATAATGACAGGCTCATATTACGCACGCTCCATATTGAACCAAGAACCAATTTCTATCTCATTAGAGATCTCATGAATGAATGAGCTTTGATCTTATGGCATTAGCGATCTAGTTAGTAATTCATGTCGGTGGTTTTAGTGGATTTATGGAAATTTCACCTATTGCATGATCATTAACCACTTTGCTACTGAAAATAGTGGAGATGAGATGTTCGCATGCGCATAACTATATATTTTTTCTTTTTCGTCATTTTTCAATCTATCACTATTCACTGTCATCTATTACAATTTCACGTCGCAATTTAGTACATTTTATTGTATTCTTCATCGCAACCCTGAATATTTCATTTATATAAAGATAATTGAGTAACTTGAAACAAGTCACAAAATGTGGATATTTTTGTTATCAATGAGAAATACCAAGTATAGGCTATCGTTGTATTCCAAATTGAGTAAGGGTGACATGTAATTTTCAATGATAATATACAGGGGACGCCATTTGAAAATAAAATGTGGGGGGTAGTTGCCAGAGAACTGTCGAATAGGAGGGTACTTCAATGCCATTCAATGAAGTTTTTGAATTTTTTAACAATCTTGTCAAATAAGCAAGATTTTGCCTCTATACGATGACTTCCCAGGGAGCACAAACATCCCTGGGATGTTTTGAAAATGTTGGCATGAAGATGTTATTTTGAGACGTGATATATGCACTTCCCAAAGAGGTCTTTGAAGGATATTGAAAGTATTGTTTTTGTTCTTTTGTGCCCTTTCTTTGTTTGCCCCACCACAACGTCTCATGCTTACGTCACAATACGATGAATTCTGATTTGTTTACGATTTTTTTCTTCTTGTTCGCAATTGGCATTCGCGTTTGCAGCGTGTCACGCTTACATCACGCTGCTAACGAACAGAAAGGAATTTGGTGAAGTTTATTGTGTTAGAAGACTTATTTAGTTTGTAATAATGACCATCAGATGCAAGATGTGTTGTTCGTTGCCTCAGTGTAATCAATATATAAAAGTACGAATTCATCGATACACAGCTTCTCCGCAGTTGCAAAATTATGCATTGTGGAGAACATTTCAAAAATTGGAAAACCTATTTCCAATAATATGTCTGTGTGTAGTAAAGCACTACTCAGAAACCGATTAAGAAGGTAATTTCATATCAAGAAAATATTTTTATGTTCAATCTATTTTTAATGCATTTTTTCATTCTAGGGAAATGGAATCCTAATGCAAAAGTTCATTTTGACAAAAGGCTTCAGAAAAGTACCTCGAAAATGTTTTTTTACAGCGATTTAATATGCGCAAGAAGCGTTGAAAATGTTCTGTTGTGTTCATGAAAGGGCTTTAAAAAGAACTAGGGAGAAGGTAGTTTTGTGACATATCAAGGACATCTCGATAATTGCCGCCTGCGGCGGACATTGGCTGTTCTATAATCGTTCTATTCATGTGTGAACAGAACATCGCAGTGGAGGTTCAATGTCTCGAAATCTCGTACTTTTAACATCTCTGAGATGTTTTTGTGCTCGCTG